TAAGTGGGATGACCTCTTTGAAGGTTGAGAACCAACTGACTGTAGCTGGGAGACGGAGTGGACCCTCTGAGGGCAGCAGGCTGCAAGCTTTCCATGCACCTGCAAACAACCGCCTGGGTTGGGTCTGAGTCCCTGGTCCTCAGAGAAGACGTGCCGTGGTGCGGAGTGGTACCAATTTAGAGGCACAGAGATGGGGGCTGGGCTGAGCCCTGTGGTCCGCTCCCATCTCTCCGTCTCACTGGTGGCTGAACAAGGTGCTGTGGGATCTTGGGCCTCACCAGTGTGAGTGGGCAACCCCTGGCGGCTGGCATGACCAACACCCCAACCCATCCTGGATTCCGGGTGGGGGCCGCTCTGCCCTGGGTGGAGGGCAGGACTGCCCGGGACAGGGCTCTTTGCCAGCCCCACACTGCCATCTGCCTGCCGGCCTCAGAACTACAGCCCGGTGCCAGGCTCAGCCCTGTTGGGACGCCATTAGAGCCCAGTGCACAGATGAGAAACCAAGGCCCAGAGGGCACCCGAAACGTCCCCAGGTTCACATAGATCGCAGTCACCAAGCTGGAATCCAGGTCCTGCATAGGCCCAAGGCTTCAGCTTATTTTTACCCTGGGCACAGTAATCAGGGTGGGATACTGAGAGCCAGTGAGGCTGGGCAGAGCCCCTGAGGATGCCCCTCCTCCCTGTTGCCCACTCCAGGGGAGGCAGGACTCTGGGCAAGCCTGGGCCCTGGAGGCTTTTGGTCCCCTGGGAAGGTTGGGGTAGGAGGTGACAATTTCTGCTTCCAGTGGACTGTGGTTCTCCCCTCCATTGCCCCTCAGTCCTGCAGGGCTGGTATCTGCAGTGCTGGATGTGAGGCTGCTCAGACACCAGCACAGGGCCAGGGACCCCCAGCTTCAGCCATCCTTGCTGGCAAATCCCCATCAGAGTCCCCAAGGCTGGGTCCCATCTGTGCCAGCACTACCTCTTTGTCCCTGCTCACCAGTAGCTGGGCCCGGGTCGGCCCTCTTTGGGGATTTGGGACTGCCTGTTTCTGGGTGAATTGAGGCCAGCACCCCAGACTGCCTGGGCCTGAAGGCTGAGGAATGGGGACAGGCAGAATTCCAGGACCCTGGGACTCCCACGCTTAGCATGACTCATGCAGTTCTGAAGGAAGAGCGAAGAGAGAATGCCCTGCTTTGCAGGTTATCTTGTGCCCATGAGGGGCAGAGGGCCCACCTCCCACCCGCTTTGCACTCCCAAAGGTTTTAAGGGCCTGAGAAGCTGGCGCCATCCTAGGAACCCACCCAGCAGAAGGACTCAGCTTTCGCAGGGCAGGCGTTTCCTAGCTGCCAACTGTCCACACGTCTGGTGGGTCTTGGGTGGAGTGGGACACGAACTGGGGGTCTTCACTCTACAGTGGCTCCAGGAATGCCATTGGGGCAGAGCTGACCTCATGGCTCTGCCAAGTGGAAAGGTTCTCTGACCTCTGCTCTAGGATGGGGGCAGGCCTCAGAGGCCACACTCAGGCCAGCGCTGTCCCCATGGACTTGGGGACATAGAATGGCTAAGAGGTTGTGATGGGGCTGTCCAGATGGAAGCCCTAGTGGGAGGCTTCAAGCCACTCCGAACCAGCAGGGGAAGCTCCAGGGCAAGGGTGGGCTTCCTCCCTCTAGGAAAGCAGGCAGTGGCTCCACAGGGGGCCCCAGTGCACTCCCCATGCCAGGGCACCTGTAGCTATACCTGGGGGCCAGTGGGCAAATGAAGTCTCTTCCAGCTCAGCCACCCAATCTGGCTCCGGGGACTGACACTGCACATGGGACCAGGCACCAGCTGTGGTGTCAGGCTTTGGGGAAGTGTAGAGGGACAGCCGTGCTGCTGTGGCAGCATAGGGAAAGGGCAGGAAAATGAAGGGGAGGGCCAGGCCACTGGCACTGAGGGACAAGGCCAAGGGTGACCGGGTCAATAGCAAAGAACTGTGGCCATTCCCAGGTTTCACTGTGCTCCAGAAGGGATGCTGTGGGCACAAGACAGGGCACACCCAAGATGTGGTACACCTGAACTCAAGAGGCAACTGAACGAGCTGGCAGCGGTTGCTCTCTCTCCTGCCTGTATTCAAATCACACCGGGACATCCCCTATCATGATCTCCATGGGCAGGGATGACATTAAAAGGCTCCAATTAGGATGTGATGGCCATTCTGGACTCCACAGGTGTGAATATTAGATGCCTTCACTATGGGTGTGAATACCCAACACCCTCACCTTGTACATATTTGATACTCTTGCCATGAGTGTGAACATCTGACCCCCTCAACCATGGGTGTGACTACTTGACACCCTTGCCATGGTGTGAATACCTGACACAAGAGTGTGAATACCTGGCATCCTCTCACCATGAGTGAACATCTGACACCCTAACCATGGTGTGAATACCTGACACCATGAGTGTAAACATGATACCCTTACCATGGTGTTAACACCTGACACCATGAGTGTGAACATCTGACACCCTCACCATGGTATGAATAACACCATGAGTATGAACATCTGACACCATGGGTGTGACTACTTGACACCCTCACCATGGTGTGAATACATGATACATGGGTGTGAATACCTGACACCCTCTCACCATGAGTGTGAATGACACCCTGTGTGAATACCTGACACATGCGTGTGAACCCATGTGAACATCTGACACTCAGCATGGGTGTGAACACTTGATACCTTCACCACAGATGTGACTATTTGATGCCCTCGTGATGTCCTTACCAAGAGTATAAATATTCAACTCACAAAAGGATCCACTTCCTGGTGACTCAGAGGGATGTGGCCTTAGCCCTTCAAGGGTATACTCCCACTGTCCTCTAAACCCCAGCTGCCTGCCCTATTGGCTGCCCAGTGTGAGGCAGAGAAGAAACCTTTGTAACTGGAGTATAATTCGCTTTTTAATTAGAACGACGTGTGTAAATGACAGAATACCACCACCCTGTGCAGATGGCGGCCACAGAATACGCATTGAATTCATTCTGCCCAAGGAAGGGAGGGAGGGAGGACACAGCGGGGCGTGAGCCAGCAGTCCCCGCCCCCTTGGTCCTGCGAGTGATGGGGTCACCGACTGTCGGCCTGCACACGCCTCTTGAACGGTAAGCAGAGATCAAAAGCACAGCAGCAGTAATACTGGGTAAGTCCTTCCTTGCGTAAAACATCTGAATTAATTCATTGAAGGTATCAAAAATATACCCTGTAAACCAATACATCATTTACATCTGCCTTTCCTTCCCACCGCTGCGGCAACGATGTGTGAAAACAACAGTCCAGTCCTCGGAGCATCCGTTCGCCCCAGGCCGCACCTGGCCCTTTTGTCCGCCCACCTGGCCTGACTTGGTTTCCAGCAATCTCGTTGGCTGGGGCAGCCTGTGGGGACCAGAACGAGCGCACTGGGGGCTGGACAGGGCCTGCGTCCGTCTGTCCAGAGCGCTAAGCGGGATGGGAGGCGGAGGGAGGGCGCGGGGGCTGCGAGCTCAGTTTAGACTTTGGTTCCAAATGCATTTGGGGGAGGCAGTGGCGTGGAGGTGCGTGGTCGTCCTGCTTTGGGTCCCTGGCCGCCCCGGCCGCCTGCGTGTGGCTGCCACACGCCTGCCGTGCCCCCTCCCCGGCCCCTTCCCCTCCCTTCCCGAGCACCAGGTAAACATCCCCTGAGTAAGGTCTGCACAGGGCCAGCCCGGGGCGGGAGTCTTAGTTAAGGCTTTAGGCAGGCAAGGATGCCGGCTCTGGACGGACGGATGGATGGAGGCGCAGGCGTACTCAGGGGCTCCTTCCTCGTTGCGGGGAGTCGGCACCCACCCTGCTCCTGCCGGGCTGTTCCTGTGGCTCGCTGGGACCCGACACCGCCCCCCTCCCCCGTTCTGAGTCACTCGCTGTCGGACAGTGTCTCGTACTGCGAGCAGAGCAGTGGCTTGGGCTCCTCGTCCCAGGCGTGGTGGGGGCCAGCGAGGGGCCCACTGCCCGCGGGGAGGCCCGGTGGGGGTGGGGAAGCCATGACACCCGCCTGCAGCCGCATGATCAGGGGATTGTAGGGGAATGGCGTGGAACCTGTGGGAAGAAGCAAAAGATGCCCAGGAGGCCTCTGTGAGCCCGGCAGGCCCTGCCCGCGGCCTGCCCACCACACTGGGAACAGAGGCCTTAGCGGTTCTGTCCAACAGCCCTCCCAGCCCTTTCTAATTGCGAACAGCTCTCAGAACCATCTGCCTCTCTTCACCTATGCTACTTCCATCCCCGTTCACACCCTGCTGTCTTCTGCCTGGACTATAGTAGCCTCTTCACCATCCCTCTGGTCTGTTCTCCCAGGGGCCTTCTGACCCTGTGTTAGATCAGCATTTCCTTTCCGAAAGCCCTCCATGGCTCCTCACTACCCATCAGAGGAAGTCCAGGCTCCCCTGCATGGCCCACCAGGCCCAGGTGATCTGACCCCAGCCACACCCTTTTCCTCTGCCGGTGCCCCTGGAGGAAGCATGCTGACCGTTCGTGAGCCAGGCTCAGCTGCCCAGGCCCCTGGACGGCATCTCCACAGAACAGGCCTGCGTCTGAGCTCTGCACGCAGCAGGCGCTCGGCATTCAGTGCCCTGTCCCCACCTGCTGCCCACCTGCTGACGAGGGCCGGTCCTCCCACACACGGTTGGTGAGCGGCGTCCGGCGGTTGCAGTCTCCCTCTGAGTGCACTGAGGAGACGGAGGGTGGCCGGTCCCCAGACGCCAGGCCCGGGGCCGGGGACTTGGCTTTTCGGCTGCTGGGTCTGCCAGAGACCTTGGCCTTCCCGCCGCCGCCTGCAGGGGGACAAGATGGGAAGGGGCTGTGTTGGGCAGTGAAGACAGCACTGACACTGCAGTGGGGCCATGGGGGCGGGGTGAGGTCCTGCCATGGGCCCTCCAAAGAGGGAGAGCAGCGATGTAAACCCCTCCTCCCTGCTGCCCACCCCAGCTGGGAAGCCAGGCTTGACCAGAGGGCCAGCCATGAGCCTGGAGGGTGGAGCTCAGTTTCTGCAAGGTTGGGGGAGGTGGCTAAACTGTCTGCTGTTTGCAATAGCCCCCTGGGCTGTCCTGCAGTGACCCCAGCCCCAGGGGCTGGAACCCTAACCATGAAGCCTGGGCTTCCAGTTTGACTCTGAGCGTGGCCCCAGGACCATGCTAAGGCTAGGCAAGCTCCAGGCCCCGTGCAGAGAAGTCAGGACCCCTGAGGCCAGGCCTGACCCCCAGGGAGACTCCAGAAGCTTCCTGGGGCTTCAGTGTCTAGGTTGGACAACTGCAACTCTCTCCTCAGCTCCCTGCTCTGATACAGACGGTATTGATGGGGACCCAGGCAGATGGGGGGCCGACCCCTTAGGCTCCCTGACTCCTGGGGCTGACACAGACCCTGGGCTCTTCCCCACCAGGCTAAGGGACAGCTGTGGACACACAGTGGGCCTGGCAGATGCTGAGCACAGGCCTGGCTGCCATCCCCCTGTCCACGCGGTGTGGGTGGGCCTTCACTCCAGCCTGGTCTCCCCCAAGGAGACAGACGGGCCAGGAGGCTGGCTCCCTGCAGGGAGGAAGGCAGCAGGACTAGGGGGCGGACGGCAGTGTGAGTGTCCGAGGGAGGCGGCAGCACTTCGGGCCTAGTGGTCAGGAGGGCCGGGGCTGGGGGGTGGCGGAGGGTGCAGACACTTGGGGGGTGTCAGCCCAGCTTCAGATTAGCAAACTCCAGAATAAGGTCAAACACGCACAAAAATAAAGTCACAAGCTCCAAAGCTTGAGGAGGGGGTTGTCAGAGGAGCGCGGAGGAGCGAGGATTAATCACACCGGGGGTGGGGACAGACGGGGGCGGGGCGGAGGTGGCCTGCAGACCTGGCGAGGTGAGTGTGTGGTCACTCCGTCCGTCAGCAGCGGTTATGGGCATAGCAGCGGGCAGGCTGGCACTGGCATTCAGAGGGTTAAAAGCATTGGCGCTGAGCGGCGGGGACTCTTCCCACTGGTCATATTTACCCATGAGTGCCTTTCTAATTATGGCCTCCAGCCCCATGTTGGTGCTGGCATGTTCCTGCACCGCCTGGCTTCTATAGGTCATAAGGCCTGGGAGAGAGAGAGACAGACAGACAGACAGACACATGGGGGCCGGGGAGGGGGAGCCAGAGGGGTGACGGAGAGAGAGAAGGGAGAGAGAGAGGGGAGGAGGAGGAGGAGGAGGAGGAGGAGAGAGAAATACACAGTGAGCACATTTCGGCAAAGCAACATATTTATTTCCCTATCCCTCCCCACCCTTTTTTTTTCCTGCTGGGTGGTGATAAAAGGGGAGAGGCTGGTTCCTTCTACCTGGGGCCCCGGAAGCTCTTGGGCACTGCCAGGGAGGTGGGGTGGGGGAGGTCAGATGCCCCCGCCAGCCCCATCCTCATTCCTATTCTGTCCTCTGGGAAATCACAAGCCCTGTCTGCACCTCCAATCCTAGCTGGGCTGTTTGTTTGTTTTTTTTTTTAAATCCCAAGTGGCCTTAATGGAGACGGTGGGAGATGGGAGGGCTGCCCTGTTTGGGGAACAGGCTGCTAGAAAATTGGGTCAAGCCAGAGCTGGGGGCTGGCGGGGGGCTGGGGAAGGAACTGAGAGAGAGAAGGTGACCAGATGGTCCTCCCGCTGCCCCACCTCCACCTGTGTGACCTGGGATGTGCAGCCCCCTGCCTCCCACACAAGCTGGGCCTACTCTCCTCCCTCCGCCTCTCCCCACCCAGGAGCCACGAGGAGAAAGAGGTGCAGAGACGGATGCTGAGGGCGAGGTCGTAGCCATGCAGTTACGGTGCGTGCAGGGGACAGGGCAGAGGTAGACACAATCACGGGACCAGCCCTGGTCCGGCCCCAGCTGGCCCAGCCACCCAGTCCCGAGGACAAAGTGGTCGAATCAACAAACCGGTCCCAAGAGGATGCTTCCAGAACATCCCCTGACAATCGTGGGAAACCTTTTCTGTGAACCAGATTTCCTTTCCATTCTTTCTTTCTTGTGAACCATGTGGAGGTGGGGGACCTTTACAAACCCCCATAGGTGCTGTCTTTTCAGAATTTTTGTGAAACCAAACCAGACTTTGCTTTCAAAAGACCCCAGTGAATTCCCATCCCACCCTGCCTACCACGGGGCAAGAGGTTCATGGATTTTTAAACTTCTGCTCTGAATGAATTGTATGAATACAAAGTGGTCAAATCGTCTTTCTGACCACTTGCTCCTTTGTAAACTAAACTGAGGCTTCCATGAGGTTGCAGGTGACGCAGATGCTTTGAAAATCACGTTTCTGTAGCAACTGCTGGCTGCCTGCGTTTTCTTTTCCCTTTTGGTTTCAAATGCGTTTGTAGCCAGGGATGCTCACACCTTTTCTGCTGTCTTGGCCACATTTCTGCAGCCCTTTAAAAAAAACAGCCATGTGCATGAAGAAAAAGCAACATTTCCAACAGGGGTGAGTGCTGAAATCACAGCAGCGCGACCCGGTCTTCTACCTAAGGCCATGAGTCCATGACCTGATGGAGCTGGCTCCAGGCTTAACAATCTCCATTTATAAAGGCGAAGTCTGACACAGGCTGAGTGGCAAAGACTGGCGCCTGGAAAATTTCTTCTTGTGGACGAAAACTGCATAAAAAGAAAAAATCAGGCCGGGTGTGGCTGCTCACGCCTGTAATCCTAGCACTTTGGGAGGCCAATGTACGTGGGTCATCTGATGTCAGGAGTTCGGGATCAGCCTGGCCAACATGATGAAACTCCGTCTCTACTAAAAACACAAAAATTAGCCAGGTGTAGTGGCGGGTGTCTGTAATCCTGCTACTTGGGAGGCTGAAGTGGAAGAATTGCTTGAACCTGGGAGGCAGAGGCTGCAGTGAGCCGAGATTGCACCACTGCACTCCAGCCTGGGTGACAGAGCAAAACTCTGTCAAAAAAAAAAAAAAAAATTTCAGTTGAGGTGGGAGGATCCTCAGCTTGAGGACAGGAGTTCAAGACTAGCTTGGGTAACATATCGAGAGCCCGTCTCTACAAAAAAGTTAAAAAATTATTTGGGTGCAGTGGCGTGTGCCTGTAGTCCCAGCTGCTCAGGAGGCTGAGATAGGAGGATCATCTAAGCCTGGGAGGCAGAGGCTGCAGTGAGCCGTGATCACACCACTGCACTCTGGCCTGGGTGACAGAGAAAGACCGTGTCTTAAAAAAATAAATACAAAGTATTTATATACAAGTGTTAGCATAAATCTTCATTGTATCATGCCATGCATTTGTACATACAGATACACCTGCGTGTCTAGCACCTGCTTAAAGATTTAGAACATCCCAGGAACATTCATTTCTAACCCTCTTGTTGTTTCGACCAAATTGTCTTCTTCCCATTGCCTGAGGCTTGGCAAAGCCCCTGGTGTCTAGTCACTGGGCGGGTGGAGGTGTCCTAGTTGGGACTCCCATTTAGAGGCCTTGATGACACTGATACTATCTGAATGACTGTCCTTTGCTCATTCCCACGGCTCAAGGCCCGGGAACGTCCCCCGGGGAAGATCAGGAAACCTCTCCGACCTCCATCCCGGCCTCGGCTTCCACCAAAGGGCCAGAGGACAACCAGGCACCCACACAGAGGCAGCTGACCCCGAAACTGCCTCAGCCCCACTGGGCCAGGCCTGCCCATGCGGAGTGGCCCCCGGAGGCCACACCCCAGACTCACCAAGGAAATACACAATGGGGCCCTCCTAGAGGATGGGGCTCCAACCCCAAGGGACCCCTAAGTCCAAAAGATCATAGAAGTCTTAAGTTTCAGCTTAAGTGCATGTCAATTTTATACCTATCTCTGCCACACACCTGCATTTGATCTTGAAAAAAAAAGGCCTCCCAGTTCCCTGGCTAGAATTAAGGAATGAAGCTCTGGCTATAACAAATGCCCGGGTGAACTCGGAGGCTTGTGCTCTGAGCTCAGGCCCACTCCTTGTCCAGACACGCACATCTCCAGCTGAGACTGGTGAAGAAGCAAGGTGAGTTTCCAGCTGGTGAGGATGCATCTGACACTTACTAACCACCCGAGGGGATCTTAACTCCAGAGACTTCCTGCACAGCGAGGGTCCTTTCTACAAGGGGAACAAGCCTCGCCTGCCTGTTGTGTGACTGAATCCTGCTGTGCGGTTAGTTCATCCCAGAATGAGGGGGTGCACTTGGACTAGCGAAGGCTCCTTGTCTCTTAATGACAGCTGGAGCAGGGGTGGGGAGAGAGCGCCGGGGACCTGGGCGGCCATATAGCAAGGGCTGGATGGGTTACCTGTTCCGGTGATGGCGGGCATATTGAAGATCTCCGTCCCAGGCTGGCCGATATCTGGAAGCGGGTGACAGAATTGGTGAGGCCCCCAGGTCTCTGGGAATCACCTGCCCTACCAGTCCTGTGTGGTCCAGGCCAGGTGTGCTGGCATCACCTGGGGAATCTTGTTCATCGCAGGTTCTGATGCAGCAGGCCTGGGACAGGGCCAAGGGTCTGCATTTCTTTTTTCTTTTCTTTTTTTGAGATAGAGTCTCACTCTGTCACCCAGGCTGGAGTGCAGTGGTGCAATCTTGGCTCACCGCAACCTCCGCCTCCCAGGTTCAAGTGATTCTCCTGCCTCAGCCTCCTGAGTAGCTGGGGTTACAGACACCTGCCACCACACCTGGCTCATTTTTGTATTTTTAGTAGAGACAGGGTTTCACCATGTTGGTCAGGCTGGTCTCGAACTCCTGACCTCAGATGATCCACCTGCCTCGACCTCTCAAAGTGCTGGGATTACAGGAGTGAGCCACCACACCCAGCCAAGGGCCTGCATTTCTAACCAGTACCCTGGGGATGTCAACGTACCCTGGGGATGCTGATGCTACGGTTCCCTGGACCACACTTAAAAGGCCCTGGAGTTACCAGCCTGGGTCAGAGATTTTTTTTTTTTTTCTTGAGACAACTTCTTGCTCTGTTGCCCAGGCTGGAGTGCAGTAGTGTGATCATAGCTCGCTGCAGCCTTGACCTCCCAGGCTCAAGCAATCCTCCCATCTCAGCCTCCCCAGTAGCTGGGACTATAGGTGTGTGCCTGGTTTTTAAATTTTTTATAGAGATGGGGTCTTGCTATGTTGCACAGACTGGTCTTGAACTGCTGGCTTCAAGCAACCCTCCTGCCTCATCCTCCCAAAGTGCTGGGCCTATAGGCATGAGCCACCATGCCTGGCAAGCCAGTGACTATCTGCAAGGTTTCTACTCCAGCCCCACGAGGGGAAGAGCATCTGTGATTTGCCCAAACTCCCCTGGCAGATGTGGCTTCTTGGGGTCAGGGACTATGACAGATTCTTTATTTGCCCACCCACTCACATATTCTCTGCTAAGTGCCAGGCCCTGTGCTAGGTACTGGGAAGCAGAGTGGGACGTTCATACCCAGAAACCACGTCAATGGGTGCAAAGCCACACAGGTGCTGAGTGTGGGAGGCGCCCAGCCCTTATGTGGGAGGGACCCAACCCCCTGGTCCCAGTATTCATGCAGGTATTCACTGGGCACCTGCTATGTGCTGGGTGCTATTCTGTGCCAGTAAGCTCCTACGGAAAGCCCAGCAAATCAAGAAACTGCCCTAGGGCTCTCCAAAGGTGAGGCTAAGGGCCTGGGGGAAGGCGGTCAGCAGGGCCACTTAGTTTTCGAAGGTGCACCGTGGGTTTCTGCTACTGGGCGGCTCCAGCGACCCAGGCAGGCCACCCCGCCACCCGTGGCCCCATGCTTCCCCGGGAGCCTGCAGGCCCCTTACTGTATTCAGGCTCATTCCGGTTGTGGGTGTTCAGCTTCTTGTTGATCTCTTGCTTCTTGGACTTGACCATGGCAGAGTTGCTCTCGGTCAGCTTGCTGAAGAAGGCTGGCGGCTGGCTGGTGTTGCCTGGAGACTTGGAGCCCATCCTGCTGTGAGGATCAGACACCTCACATCAGTTCACTTGGTGCTGAGCTTGCATGCCTTTGATGACAGGGAGCTCACCACCTGAGATGCCTTAGACATTTGGAAGCAAGCTTCACCCATCCCCATGCGTGCATCCCCTGCCTGGTAGAAGATCACGGCTCCTGAAATCTCCCCTGTGGTTCACCCATCCTGGGGCTAGGGGTGTCTTGGGAGACGCCTGGCTGTGTGGTGGGCTGCCTCTGACCACTTGCTCCAGCCTGACCCTCCCAAGAGAGCCCCAAGGATTGAAATTGGGTTCCGATCATGCCCTTCCCCAAGGCCAGTGGCCCCAGCTTCCTTCTCAGGCCCCACTTCACCCATTGCCCCCAGTCTGGCCCAGCACACTTAGCTCATTATTTCTTAGAGGTTCAACAGGGGCCGGCAACAGGGGCCTGGACCAGCTGAGATCCCAGCCCAAGGCACGGAAAGCTACCACTGAGGTCTCCCCAGGGAGGGTGGGCATGTATTACACCCCCAAGTTGGCGAAACTTGCTTAGCAGGCTCGAGGTCACCCAGCTGAGCCCTGTGCCCTTGTCACTCTCCACACAGCACCATGGTGGACTGGGGCCAAGGATGGGCAAGGAGCTGATACCAGAGCATCTCAGGGGCAGTCCATGTGCCCACAGAAGTACCTGGGCTCTGTCTGCTCCCCATCCCGGTACAGCAGCGGGTACACAGCACTCCGGGAGTGCCCTGGCTCCGTCATGCCCTCCGGTGGGGACACAGGTTCAATACCGTCCTCACCACCACCCAAGACCGACGTCTTGCTTGGCTCTGGAGACCTGGAGGGAGAAAGGACCCCAGATATGGTCAGAGGTCTCCCTCCTGAGGGGACGCACTCCTCCACTCTAAACCAGGGCCCCGCACGCTTTCCTGTACCTGGCCAAATCATAAACGTTTTAGGTATTTTCGACCACAAGTAATCTCTGGCACGTATTGTTATTATTTTTATTTTTTAAAACAACTCTTTAAAAATGTAAAATCATCGTTTTAGTTCATGAATTGTACAAAAACAGGGCTCAGGCTAGATGTGGCCCATGGCCCATAGTTTACTGACCCCTGCTCTGAATTCTGGTTGGACCCCAGTGCCAGCTACACCACTGTCCCCCAAAGATGTCCTGCTGTCTTATCCTATCTGTCCTCACACACACATTCCCCGCCGCCCCCACCAAAATGCCTCCTTCACCCTGGAGCTCAGGGCCCTCCCCTCTCTTCCTCTTTGGACCCCCAGAGGCCCCAGGGTTCACAAGGGTGGGAGTGTGCGTGAGCATGTGCGTGTGTGTGCACTGACAGGTGTGCGTGTGTGTGTGCATGTGTGGAAAGGCTGCTCTCTCATCATACAGCCCTGGATCAAACCCCCTCTGTCACCTACTGACTGTGTCCCTGTGGGCAAGTGAATTCACGTCTCCAGGCCTTAGTTTCTTCATCTGTGAAATGGGGAGAATGCTGCCTGTGTCTCCTGGGGGCTGTGTGTAAAGGGTACACATTGAGTGCCTGGAACCCACTGAGCACAGTGTGCACTTTTATTGGCTATTATTGGTTATGTATCCACTCTGTGACTTCCCCATCTCCCGGAGCTTCCATTTCTTGCCTGTGCAATGGCACCAGGCGGGCCTCGTATGCAGCTGAGCTCAGACCCAGCTCTGAGGCAGGCAGCTGACGAAGGCCTCCCACCGGCTGACCAGCAAGAGGCACCCCCACCCCACGCTCACCTCTTGCCCCCTTCGCTGTTGGGGGAGCCACGGGCCGGGGCACCATGGTCCGGGGGCGGGAGGTAGAGGTCACTGGGTGGGCGGCGGAGGTCCAGGACGGGGCAGCTGGCCCCAGGGAAGGAGTACAGGGGGGCGGGCAGGGGTGCGCTGAGCTGCTGTGGGTGGTGCCGGGTGTAGTCCTGTGTGATGACCTCCTGCAGGCAAGTGGGGGGCCCAGGGTCAGGCAGCACCCTCCTGCCAGAACCTTCTGGGGGTGGGGAGGGGCTAGATGGAGCTTGGGGAAGAATCCTGGCTGGGGCCAGCTTCCTGGGCGACTGTGGACCTGCCCGCCACCCTCTGGGCCTCCGTGTCCCCGGGTGCATGGGAGTCGGGCTGTGGTCAGTGGTCCCAAGCTGGTAGTTGGCAGATGGCTGATATGACCAGCCATGACACTGAGAAACCCGGGCCACCAGGAGGGTTTCACTGCCTGTGAAGATGCTGTTGGCTCGCATCGCAGGCTCCACCCATGGATGAGGGGGTGGTGATGGTATGGGCGCTCGGGGCTCTGGGATCTCACCTTCACCTACGCCCTGGATCCCCCAGCCACCCCGCCAGGACAGAGGGGCTGTGGGGTTCCCCATCCCCTCTCCAGGCCCGGTGCCCCCAGGGGCAAGGATGACAAGATGTGGCAGAGAACGCGTAGTTACACTGATGTGCTGGGCCAGAGTGACCACCCGCTGGTGACCTTTGACCCCCGGGGCAGTCTGGAGCAGCGGGCTGGACGCGGGCTGGTTCTCGGGCAGCGGCCGCAGGTGTGGGAGGTGGGCGGCCTCCCCGCCGAGCTTCACGGGGCCTGCAGGCAGAGCAGAGCTGGTCAGGGGGTATCTGCTGGCCCCAGGGCTGCTGGGCCCAAATCCCAGCCCTGTGCCTTTGAGCCTCATGACCCGGCCGATTCCTTGGCCTTTAGGCACCTCTCTTTTCCCATCTGCGTGATGGGGCCGTGAGGGTCCTCATTGTGCAGGGTTTCTGGGGCCTGGGTACTGGGCGGGGCGTACCTGGCTGCTTGGGCCGCAGCTCTCCCTCCAGGTGGCTCTTGTCCAGCTCTTCCAGGTGCTTGGGGAGCCCCTTGTCGTGTGTCAGGCTGGGTGAGCTCACAGGGCTGACGGGCTCCACCCCTTCAGGGCTGTAGCTGCTGCCGTGGTAACCTAGGGCAGGCGGGGTGCAGTCAGGCACCAGGCCCAGGGGCTCGGGGTCCGAGGGGCAGGGCTGCCCTCCCAGCTGGCTGGATCCCCGTGGGGTCAAGGGGAACGCAAGCTAGGGGTGGGGTTTGGGCACCCAAAGAAAGTAAGGCAGAGAGGGGTGTTGGGGAGAGAGAGGGAGGCCAAGGGAGAGGTGGAGAGAGATGGAGAGAGATGCAGCGCCTGGGAGAGACAGAGACAGAGGGAGATGGAGCCACAGAGAGAGATGAGGCCAGAAGGGACAGAGATGGGCTCAGGTGGTGGAGGCGGGGCGAGGCCAGCGTGAGACAGGGACAGCGTGGGTCTCTGGGGGAAGGAGTGTGTGGGGCAGAGTGAGAAGTGGGGGTGTGGCTGGCAGTGACCCTGGGTCCCCGGGCCCCGCCTGAGCTATAGCCTTGGCCATCCCAGTCCAACAGAGAGGAGCCATGAACTAGGGCCAAGGTAGGGGGCCAGATGCAGAGGGTTCCCCTTTTTCTGGGGTACATGGGCTGGGGACAGGGCAGGATGCAAGAACTGGGCCCAGTTCCTCCTCGACAGTGCAGGCCCCCGCCCCGCCTCAGCTTCTCCCTGCACCGCCTGCCTCCACTTCCCCCTAGTCCAGCTGCATCCAGGCAGCCAACAGGTGGGGGCATAGGCCTGAGACCCCCCGCAGCCCCATCCCTGCTCCCCAGACACAGGCGCAAAGTGGGAGATGGGGGCGCAGTCGAAGTCAGAATCACAGATCCATTCATTAAAGGAAAAAAAAGCAAAAATCCAAAAAAAAAAAAAAAAAAAAAACCATGGTAAAATGATGTGCAAATGATGAGCGCCCCCAAACCAGAGGGGCGGGCGCGGCCGGAGTAGTCGTCAGCACGTGCAAACCGGCGAGGACGGACGGGCTTCAAAACAAAATACCGAAACCAACAACGAAAAAAACGGGGGCCAAAGTAAAAAGCAGAGATCTGAAAATATCTTTGGACCACGAGACGGGGTGGGTGCGGGCCGGAAGTCTTACCATCGCGAGGGGAGCCGTTGGCCAGCGCACCTCCTTCTCGCGCCCCTTTATCGTGAGCAATTTGACGCATGATAATCGCGTCTATGAAGGTGGCCGCTGTCAGGGTGGTCTTACCCAGAGAACGGAGTTCCAGTTCCTGGATGGAAAAGGGTTTACTTTGAGTCTTTTCCCGGTGCGGGTCCGAGGCCGAGGCGGGCGGCGCCGG